AGAGAGAGAGAGAGAGAGAGAGAGAGAGAGAGAGAGAGAGAGAGAGAGAGAGAGAGAGAGAGAGAGAGAGAGAGAGAGAGAGAGGGAGGGGGGGGAGAGGGGGAGACTGCCCATGGAGTGGCTAGTGAGGTCAGCATCTGTAGAAGCTAGTTATCGCTTGTCGCCTGTTGGCTGGCTAGTAGGGGTACTGGTTAGGGCTTCAGACACTGCACCGGAGAAGGAAAAACTCTTGTGAGCACCTACCTCACATGTGTGTGCGGCTTGGGAGCACCAGAATCCCCCGTGTCTCACGTGTACCAGCCTCACAGGAAAATTGCAGCTGTCCCATGGTGCGTAGCAAGTCTAAGGGGCTTGCTTTCTTGGGGGATTCCGGTGCTCCCAAGCCACACACGCACATGAGGTAGGTGCTCACAAGAGTGCAGGTGGGACGCTCCTGTTCTGTTTTGTGTACTGCAGGGAGTACGTACGCCATCCAGTTACCTGTGGGATCTGTTGAATTGGCATATGGGAGAGGGGCCAATGCCAGAACGGCCGTCGATGCTCAAGAAGGTTCATGCAGTGGATGTGATAGTGTGGATTGCCCCTTGACAAGTCCTAGAGCTCAGCCAGGCGAAACGCGTAGGGGGAATGTTCGCGTTCATGAGCTATGTCTGTGTCCCTGCAGGTGCTTTGATGAGCTAGACTGTCAGCGTGCACATGCAGTGATTAGCCTCGCTACATTATTTCAATTGAATTTAATTTATAATTGAATTCAATTCAATTCTTCTTCTTCTTTGTCTTCGTCTCTTCCTCCTCCTACTTCGTCTTCTCTTCCTCCTCCTCCTCGCTGCTGCCGCCTCCTTCGTTTTGGCATGTGTGCGTTTTCGAGCATAGCTATGTGTGCGCCGTGCGGTTATGATTGATCGTCTGTCTGATGCATGGACACATGGCGATTGGCCTCGCTTCACTCAAATCCAAATTCTTCTTCTGCACCTTCTGCACCTTCTGCACCTCGTCCTCCTCCTCCTCCTCCTTCTTCTACTTCGTTCTGCCACTTCTTCTTCCTTCTTCTTCTTCCATCACTGCTCCTCCTCTTCCTCCTCGTCCTGCTTCTTCTTCTTCTTCTTCTTCTTCTTCTTCTTATGATTATTATTATTTTTCTTCCTACTCTTGTTGATAACATTATGTTTATTGAAAAAAAAAGATGAAAGGGGAAATTTTGGGAATGTGGCTTATAACGGAACAAAGTTGGGTCTTTGTGATGTGCCAACTATGTCTGCATGTTCTCGTTAGACCCAGGCAATAGAAGAGGGATACATCCAAAGTACTGGTGTGCCTGGGTGGTCGGTTGAGAGCATGGTCACACTAGGAGCTTCCCTGGATGTATCTGACCGCAATTACAGCCCATCCTGATTGTATCTGACTGCAATTACGTCCAGATGATATTTAGTAGAAAAAACAGAACTGTGTCCCACTGTGTACTGAGAAACATCCTGTCAATGAACTGCTGAGTGAAAAATATGCTCCAGTCGTTCTGCTGTCCTTTTCTTTTCTTGATTTTTTTTCTTTCAGAAACTAAAATTTTCCATTTAGGGTTTTGTCACTTGATTGGATGTTGGATGTGCAATAAAATGCAGAGACGGATAATCCTCTTCATCAGCAATTTGGCGGCTACCACAATGTCGTGGTTGGTAGAGAACTTCAGATCGTTGATGTGGAGTTCGTGAGACAACTCCAGCACATCCCGATGGGTTCTGCTCCGGGTGATTGTATCCTTCGTTTAATATCTATAATTAATAATTAATTAATAGTTTAATATATTAATTAATTAATTAATTAATGATGAATTATTTAATTATTAGCTTATTTAATTAATTATTTCGTTACCCAGACTGTTGGTATGGAGTTTGAGAGGCAAGTTCTGAACATCCTGATGGGTTCTGCTCCGGGTGATTGTATCCTTTTTTGTCAAAATCTCATCATCGTCCTCGCGCTTATTGTCATCCTCATCCTCATCCTCATCCTTATTCTTATTTTCACCCTTACCATGTGAAATCCTCACATTGCTCAATAATGATAACCACCGAAAAAGAGAGCGCAACGTATGTACTATGTAGTCAATCTGACAAAACGATGAGGAAGGAGATGAGAACTCTGTGTGTGTGTGTGTGTGTGTGTGTGTGTGTGTGTGTGTGTGTGTGTGTGTGTGTGTGTGAGAGAGAGAGAGAGAGAGA